GGGGAACACATCAGGGCCCGCAGGTAGTGGGAGGCTGTGGCAGGGAGCACAGCTCCACGGCCCACTCCAGGCCCCAGGCCCCAGGCCCCGGGCCCCGCCTTTGCATGCTGCCGCGTGTAGCTGCAAGGCAGCACAGATCCTCACATGTGCAGTCTGCACAGCTCACGCGGCGACAGCAGCAACAGCCCCTGAAGAGCCGTCCAAGTGGGACGAACGCTGAGCTCAGCCCAATGGGGTGCCGGGAGGGGTCACCGGTCCTGTGGTTTCTGGCCAGAAACTTCCTCCTGTCTTCCACTTCTACATTTTTTTTGGTCACAAAAATCTAGATTAGGTATTTATCTGTTTTATTAGGGTCTAACTGAATTCTTGATTTTTCAAATATGAGAAGTCTTCAAAAAGTTTACAGAAAACAAGCATTATGCAAAAACAGAGTTCAAAAATTCTGCATCAGAATGACCTCAAACTTCAGTTCTACTTTCCCATGCACTTTTGGAGCTCTCCTTGTATGTGCTCATACTTGGTGGGATAAATATCAGACACGTAGACCCCAGTTCTGAGGCCGGGGAGACTGCTACTTCCCCGTGACGGACTGGTGGAACTGCCAGCGCCCCGCGCCCGTCTGCCACAGAGCAGGAGACGCACACAAGACCGGTCCCTGCGGATGCAGGGCTACGCATGGGTCTCAGAGGCGCATAACCCCGTTACGGGCTGAACGTCCATAGGTTGAAGAGGTGACCCCAGCACCCAGAATGTGCCCATATGTGGAGACGGAGGCCATCTGGGGACCCAAACCCAACAGGACTGGGGTCCTAAGGGAGGCCATGAGGACACGGGGGGATGGGGAGGGAGGCTCAAGAGGAAGCAGCCTGGCCACACCTGACCTCGACGTCAGCCTCCGGAGAGCAGGGACAGAGAAGCCCTGCCGTCTGGGCCACCCGGCCATGGGCTAAACCCTCGATCCACACAGTCTGGGCCACAGCATCCAGCACACAGCGGCCCCGCACCTCCTCACTAGGGAGCGGCCTGGACCACGGCCTTCTGGAAACACGCACTGAGCCCCAGCCCTGCAGCAGACCAGGGAGGAAGTCTCTGGGGTTGGGCGACCTGCGATGGGCCGTCTCCCTGCACCAGCCCTCTCTGGGAGCAGCTGACACCACTCGGCACGGCCCTCCTTGGCCTCGCGGTGACACTCACCTCAGCGCGCACTGTACACCCGTCTCGTCCCCGTAGGCCGAGTACAGCAGTTCTGTCTCGTCCGATTTCAAGTCCCCGAACACGGGGTTGTTCTGCATTGACAGTGCAGAACTGGTGCTGGAGAGGAACGTGACTGGGGACGAGAAAGGAAGGCACAGGGGACATCAGCATGGCCCCCGACGGCGCTGGCTCGGCGCGGGCGCCGCCCCTCCTCTGTGAAGCCCTCGCTCCTACACAGCGAAGGTCCTGGCGTGCTGCCACAAGCATTCATCCGTGTCCGCCGTGGGCCACAGACGGGTGGACACAGGTGAGAGGCAGAAACAGACGGACGCGGGTGAGACGCGGCGGGCGCGGGTGAGGCGGGAGTGAGAACAGGTGAGACGGGGTGGATGCGAGTAAGAGGGGTGGACGCTACTGCAACTGACCCTCAGACTGTGTGGAGCGAGGGTTTACCCCACTGCTACAATTGACCCATGTCTCACGGGCTGTAAAATCCGAGTCCAGACGTGGCAATGGAACATGAGGGGAAAGCTCGGAAGGAGCTGTCAACACAGCCGCTGGCCGTGGCTCAGCTGTGCCCCCAGCTCCGGGCCCTCGGGCGGGTAGCCACACACGTACCTTTGCTCCTCCTCTCGTCTTTGAAGCCCAGGGTCGTAAAGCCTGGGAGCAGCTTACTGGAGAGTGAGCTCAGGTCCACCGGGTGAGTCTCCTCTTCTGCAGGGTGCACAGAGGTGGCCGTGAGCGGGTGGCCCACCCAGCGCTGCCAGCACTCCCTCTGCACCGCAGGGGTTTGCTTGCGTATGGGGTGGGGGCCCTACAACGGCTACCTGAAGACAAACTTACGAAAGTAACTACCATTCTCGAAACTAGACTGACTGCACTTCAACGTCACTTCGTAATCTCCCCGAGTCAGCACAACAAAGCCGCCAGGCCCGCCACCGCACCAGCCACACGTGAACACCTTCGTACCGAATGCTCAGCGCGTCGCGAAGAAAAGCCCCCCAGCTGTTACGACAGCAACACAGTGGCAGCTCTGCCCCCACTAGCTCCTCAGGTCCCCAACTTCTGTGGTCAGTGGACTGTGGACGGGGCTCACCACCACGGGAGAGGGCACCCACCGTCGGCATCAGGCTCGGCCACGTTGACCACGCTGTAGAGCAGACTGCCGTCTCCGTTCCTCTTCAGGTAGCCCATCTGCAAGGAAGCTCTGCTCAGCGCCCACACGGGACGGCTCGTGCTCCCACCGCTAAATGCCGGCCCGCATCCCCGTCCCCACCGCTGAATGTGCTGCCGGAGAGGAGAAAGGCCCACGGCGTGAGCGGGACAGAGCCCCACGAGCCACAAGGCTACGCGGCCCTCACAGGCAAACGCTCAGGTCCCCTCACGCCATTCCCAGAGAGCAGGGCTGGCTCCCAGGCCACGCTGCACACGCGTGCAAGGTCAAGCTGCACACATGTGCTATGGTCCCGGGCCCTTCGCAGCCATCTTCAACAGGATGCTTCTGAGACAAAATCCGCCACCTGGGCCCACATTTAAAATCATTCTAAGCCCGAACAAAACACAATGGAGCAAGATGGCCGGTCAGCGAGCAGAGGCGTCCTCTCTAAGCACGTGGGGATTTACTTCCACTGGGGAATTTTCAAGATGTTCATAGAAAATGTAAGTATGAAAAACTATGCATAGATTTCAAAATTATTTGCACCAAAACAAACTCTTACGTTGATTTTCCTATGAACTCTCTGAAGTTCCCTCGTAAAAGCAATTGTGAAACACCCAACCTAGTCTACGGACCACCAGGAGCGTGGAGAGAGGAGCCGCCTGAAGGCTGTGGGTGTGCGAGGGGACGAGGAGGGCGGCCTGTGCAGGGCAGGCCAGGCTTCTGCAGGAGGGAAGACAGCTGGAGCGGCTGAGGGCAGGCCAGGCAGACGGGGGAGCGGCACCTGGGGAGCAACTCGGGCACTGAAGGACTCCCGACGTACAGGAGGACAAGGATGTGGTCTCTCACAGCAGTTAACCCCCGGGAAGAAAAGGGACCACGTGGTGTTGGAGAGGCCAGAGCGCTCAGTGTGAAAACAGCGTCTTCTTCCCTTCTGTGCTAGAAGGTGCCGTGTGCTTGCCAGAGAGAGACAGAGAAGCACACACCCTCCCAGGGCATGGCTACAACCCCTCCCCATCCCGCCCCTCCTCTGGGATTTAGCAGACATGAGCTAGCATGCCTCTCTGACCAAAGGATCTAGGACTCAGGCAGGTTGGTCGTGGGATCCGCTGCCTTAACCACGAGACCCGAGTCGGCTCCAAACTCGGTTTTTTAATGTGAGCACAAGTGCTGGCAGCCTTCCTGCACTGCAGCACGTGCCCACGCGGCCCCACATCTCTGCGGTAGCACCTCGCCCACACCAGGGCTGGGTCTAAGCAGGCTTCCGGGAGCAATGGTCAGCCCCAGGCTGAGGCATGTCTGGTGCGCAGAGCAGCGCTGCCTGACAGGACTTCCACCTGAGCATGCAGGGACTACACACACACACACTTAGAAAGAGGGTCACAGCATGCCAGAGAACCCGAGGCAACCGCAACGCTGCCACCTCAACAGCCTTGATGTGGGACCAGCAGTTAGCGTAATGGCTATGTTGCTGAACTCCCATGTACCCAGCCATGATTCAAGTCCCGGACCCATTGGCTTAAACTCACACCGGGTGTGTTTACGTGCCCAAGATCCCGAGAGGAGAATGGAGAAGGGATTGCAGTGTGACCATCCCCCCTGGGGGGTGATTTCTCGCTTTCTGTCTCTCCGTCTCTCTTTCTGGCGAGCGCACGCACCCTATAGCAAAAACCTCTCCCCCCCAAAAAGAATAAAATCCTCAACATGTGACCCCGTGTCCATTTCAGTAACCCATTACGAAAACCAGGCAAGGTCTCGGAAGGGTTTACTCAGCTCACGTGGAGAAATGAGGTTTTGGATATAACAGGTCACAAAATTCTGGGATTAATGTCCCCATGTGCTTTTACTTCCATCGTGTAAACCACCTACATTTCACCTCCACCTCACAGCTACTGGGAGATTCTTTTGGTCAAGAAAAAGAAAACAGAGGGGCCAGCAGTTAGCGTAATGGCTGTGTCGCTGGATTCCCACGTAGTTGACAGCGATTCGCGTCCCGGACCCGGTGGCTTAAAACTCAGACCGGGCGCATGTGCGTGCGTGCACAAGATCCCGAGAGGAGAATGGAGAAGGGATTGCGGCATGGCCATTCCCCCTGGGGGGTGATGCCTCGCTTTCTGTCTCTCTGTCTCTCTCTGTCTGGCGCGTGCCCGCGCCCTATAGCAAAAAGCTCTCCAAAAAAAAAAAAGAAAAAGAAAACAGAGAGGAAGAGGGAGGAAGCACCCTCCACAAGGTCACACTGCAGTCCCTGGTCATCCTCACACTGTCGGGGTCAGGGCACTCAAGTACATGCCTTTCAAGCCGCTGGGGATGGGGTTCAAACCAGAGTCAGCCGTGTGGGACCCGGCCCTCTACCAGCTGTGGGCCAGACCAACTGCAGTAAGTTGAGAAACGTAATCAGACTGTCTGTACTGGTGTGCTAGAGAGGAGGTGGCGGCCAGAGGTGGACAGAGCACTCAGCACAGAGGGCTGGCTGGTGAGCCCCGTCTGCACAGCTGGACCCCGGGTGACCCAGGCACCGACACGTCCACGTGTGCACACGGGCCCGCTGGACCCCGGATGACCCAGGCACCGACCCGCCCATGTGCGGGGATGGGCCTGCTGGACCCGGGTGATGGAGCACTGACCAGTCTGCGTGTGGAGACAGGCCCAGTAGACCCGGGTGATCGAGCCACTCTGCAGGGCTGCCTTCCACCAAGCACTAGACACGAAGGGTGGGCTGCGACATGGCTGGACACGCCAGGCAGCGAGGCCGATGCACCCTGCACCCCGTGCCGCTGCGAGGAGGGCCTGACGGAGGGGACCCGAGTGGTGTCTAAGCCTGCACAGGACGCCCTGATCGAGGGGTCTCGGTGACACCCCCACCTTCGCCACGTGACCCAAAGTTCCCACAGGCGTGTCCGTGGGTGCCTGGAGCCCCAGCACTACCTTGCCGCCCGGGAGGGAGCGGCTGACCCTGTCCCGGGCCTCGTCGGCGGCGTGCTCCACCAGGGCCAGCACGTGCTCCTCCGCGGTGCTGTCTGTCAGGCTGCAGGCGTTTCCCTCGGGCTCGAACGCGCAGCTGCAGGCAGGGACATGGACAAGTCACCAGAGGCCCTGCCCGTCACGCACCCACCACCCTCGTCCTCCCCGTACAGTCCCCAGCCCAGTTTCCGCTGAGGCTCCCTGGACACAAGGTAACAGGTGGCCCCAGCCCTGCTCACGGCTCACAGCGCTCCCTTCCTTCTGAAAGAGCAAGATGCTCGTCCTGCACGAGGGGTGTGTACACCTCTCGACGGGGGACTTCAGCCACCCTCAGTGCGGCAGGAGCAGCACAGCGACACACTGCCACCCCTGGCTAGCCACTCAGGGCACCGGCAGACAGGGACGAAGCCCTCCGAGCCCAGCCTCCCACTGTGGGTGACACATGGGGCCATAGGGCTGGGCAGGCAGTGCCCCGGCTGCCCCATTCGTGGCCCAGGGGGCCCCTCAGAGCACTCGTCCCCAGGGCTGAGAGGCGCTGGGTGTGGGCACACAGAGAAGCCGCCCCATCCACCCTGGACCTGGGGCTGGGGCTCGGGACACTCCTGCCTCAGCCCCTCCTGCTCCTGTTCCCAGCAGCCTCTGGGTGCAGCAGGCGCTCCTACCAGGGAGGGCCGCCACCTGGGCCCTCATAGGCACCCTACAGCCAGGCCGCAGGCCGAGGCCGAGGGTCTGACACTGCCTGGAGCCCCAACCGGGGTGACGCTGGGACCTCACCGCCACTCCCCCACACCCAGGCCAGGGCTGAGACAGAGGCTGCGTGCCAGGGAGAGGAGTGATGGGGGCACGTGAAACTGCGGCCCCTGATGGGAGACTGCCGGCTGCTACGATGGGCAGAAGCCTCGCGGAGCACCCTCTGCCCTCGCGACCTCAGGACACGCAAGGGCAGTGGCTCTACTGCTCACCAGAGGGAGACCGGGCTGCCCTGGTGAGCTGCACGCACCCCTGCGCCTGTCCCACCCAGGACGGCCCCACGCGCATCTCACAAAACCCACAGCCAGCCCGAAGTGAGAGGGAATGGTGGAGTCAGGCCTGAATCTCCTGAAAGCTCCTTACAATCAGCTGCCAAGGGTCAAACGAGAACTCAGTTCTGAAGCTCCGGGTCTGTGACAGGAGGGTTCAGAAGGCCACTCCAGTCAGCAGCTGCTGCACGGAGGGAGGGAGCTGCCCTCCGCACACAGGCCCAGATCCCACACAGTTGCAGGGCAAGACCGCGTGCCAGTCCAGCGGGGAGGGTTGGGGGCGCATGGTTCTGTGGGGAGGGTGGGGGGTGTAC